CACTTTATGGAATGGAAATGTCATGAAAGCTGTACAAAACTAAATTTTGCTTTGTATACGCTCAACAATAAATGCTGTCTAAATCTAAGTCTAATTTTAGCCCTTCTTGAACTTTCAGATATTTTTTCTGTTTGCTTCTGTGTTTCTGTAATTAAGAAAGTTATGTAACATCTTATTTTGTTTGAATTTTTTTTTCTTTTTAGGATAAAGGGATTTTGTTTCATGGAATACATTTATTTTTTTTTACGATTTATTACTTATGAAAATCCAACAACTATCCCATGTCTTATAGTTAGAACCCTGAGTTAATAGAAACAGAGCAATGCTCCCAGGTCTCAAGATATGCCCAGAACTCTGTGGCTAACAGCTTAAGACTGAAGTCTCCTATCAAAGGACACGGGGCAGAGGAGATCCTTAGGAAGGCGCACAAACAAGCTGCTTAGTGAAAGAATAAGACAGACTCCCTTCACAAGTGAAGCTCTCTCTCACAAAATAGATCAGACAAGGCAGAAGCTGTCCAACCTTCTCCCTGAACCTTTGTTTAAATAAGTTGTCACATCTGTTGATAAGGTCTAGCTTTCACAGCACCAGAAAACCAAAGAAAGACAAAAAGCTAAATTTAATAAATTACAACAGAAAGCAGCAATTAAACAAGAAACCGTCATACCACAGGAGGAAGCCGCCAACATGGAGGTCCAGGACAAGTGGGTTAAAAACCTGTCTGGCAGATTGCTGACAAAACCAGAGACGGATGTTCTGAGTAAAGGCCTGAATTTTGCAATTTCTCCACAAGAAATACCCATTCTGGAGCTGATCACTGCCATGGAATCTGCCATCAGGAACAACAACCTGGCTGAATCAGAGGCAGAGCAGCTCAGGATGAAAGTAACAGCTACCCTGTCTAGCATCAAACCACCTCCTTCCAATCTCACATCACTGGAAAGAAAAACAATAACACCCCTTAGCCAGGACCAAAGCATCACCATATTACGAGCAGGCAATTAAATACAGTTTATTTCTATAGCGCCAATTCTCAACACAAGTCATCTTAAGGCACTTTACAGTTCACCAGATCATCCAGTCAGATTGATTCAAAGTTTTCTTTCTAAGGAAAACCAGCTGATTGCATCGACTTATTGACTCTTCAGCAATCCTTTACACTAAGCATGCTTGTAGCGACAGTGGAGAGGAAAAACTCCCTTTAAACAGGAAGAAACCTCCAGCAGAACCAGGCTCAGTGTGAGCGGCCATCTGCTGAGGCCGACTGGGGTTCAAGGAGACGGAAGCAGAGATTCAAAAACAGCTGTAAAAGGCGGCCCCGTCCAGGAAACACACAGCCAGGCAGACAAGCTCTGAGCCAGCTCTGATGCCAGAGGACGAAGAGAGCACATCCAGTTAGTCACAGTCAGAGAAACAGGACTACACTGATAACCAGGCGGAGCTCAATCATCTATAAACAAATGTATTGATGGCAGCAAAGCTGATACAGGAACAGACCAGATGAAGCTACTATGAGAAAAAGCAGAGAGAGCAGAACATTAGAGATTGAACTAACAGATTCTGCATAACTATAGAGCTATAGAGATAGCTCAGGATAACCTGAGCCACTCTAACTATAAGCTTTATCAAAAAGGAAGGTTTTAAGCCTAGCCTTAAAAGTAGCCTTAAAAGTAGACAGGGTTAGGGTTAGGGTGTCTGCCTTACGGACTAAAACTGGTAGTTGTTTCCACAGGAGAGGAGCCTGATAACTAAAAGATCTGCCTCCCATTCTACTTTTAGAAATTCTAGGAACCACTAGTAAACCTGCAGATTGAGAGTGAAGTGCTCTGTTAGGAACATAAGGAACAATCATCAGACAAAGGAAGAAGCACCGTGGTCCTCAACACCTCTGACTACCAGGATAAAATTCTCACTCTACTGAGTGACACCTATAAATCTTTTAAAAGAGATCCAACCAATACCTACAAAAAGAAAATCACAGACTACCTCCAACAACTACAAAAATACAGGGTAATTAACCATTCATATTATTTTGGACTCCCAAAATTAAAAAAATCAATGAAGGAACACCACTCACAACCATTCTCAGCAGCATTAACTCAGTAATATGCAACATTGCTAAACAGCTTGGTGGGAAACACACCACATCACATAGAAAACTTCAAAGACTTTGCAAACAAAGTCAAACATTTAAAGATGGTGCCAGGAGAAATCCTGGTGTAACCTATATCAGAGGCAGTGGAAACAGTCAGGAAACGTCTTCAACAGGACAGTGACCTAAACAACAGGACTAATTTCACTCCAGACCAGCTCTGCACTCTACTGGACCTTTATTTTTCAACAACCTATTTCAAGTTCAGGGATAATTTTTTACAGACAGAAGCATGGTTGTGCAATGGGATCTCCAGTGTCAACCTAACGGTGAGAAGATCAATTGCAAAAACATCTCCCTCCCATATGTGGCTGCAGTGTCTGAAAAACTCAAGAGGATTTTCTCCAAACACGAAATCCCAGAACATTTCAAACCAGTGCTAGTGCTCGCTTTTCTCCAAATTACAGTTGCTGAATATTTATGAAATTAATATTTATCAAACATGTACCTTTGTTTTAAGGATAAAACAAGGTCAGTCCCCTGATAGTTTCAAGAATTATTTTGTTAAGAACTGCCAAGTCCATTCTTATAATACTAGACAAGCGTTTTCTTGATTTACCATGCAATTTATTGTGCAATTCTCTTTTCTGCATCGTGGAGCAAAACTGTGGAATGAATATAGAAAATATTTGGAATCTCCAGAGATAAACGGTAGAAAGGCTTTGAAAAAAATACTGTTATCCAAAAAAGACGGTGATGTATGATTTTACAAATATTGACTCTCTGAAATCTGAAAAATTAATTGTAAAAATTTTTTACTATACTTGTCTTTTCTGTTTTCTCTCTCTCCAGTGAAATGTCTTTCATAATGTGAGCTGCCTGATGTTTTGTTGCTTTAGCGGTGTGGCCTTTGGTATAAGCCCTATGGGATTTCTGTCACACTCCATCACATTTCTTATTTTATTGATGTATTCTGAGTTTCTATTTCGATTTCTGAAAATAAAAAATAAAAATAAAAAAAAGGAACTTAACAAGACCCTTAAACATAGACTAGTGCATCCTAAAGACAAAACCCCCAGACCAGATATGAGTGGAGTGGTGTCTGCAATTCAATGCAGTGAGGAATGCTCTGATCTTTATATTGGAGAAACCAAACAACCTCTCCACAGACGCATGGCCCAACACAGAAGAGCGCCCTCCTCTGGACAAGACTCTGCGTTACATCTACACCTTATGGACAAAGGACATTCTTTGGAGAACCAGAATGTTCACGTTTTGGATAGAGAGGACAGGTGGTTTGAGAGGGGCGTGAAGGAAGCCATCTATGTAAAAAAAAAACAACCTAAACAGAGAGGGGGGGGGCTCAGATTTCAGCTTTCAAAAACCTACAATGCAGCGATTGAGTTGATTCCTTCCCGCTATCATTGCAACCGAACTGAAGACCTTGCCTGTTCAGCCAGGCCAACAATTCCCTCTAATGACCCCCCTTTCAGAGACATAGACAGGTATGGGGCATTGCAGGCTAACAAAGAAGCCAAACAACCCTCATTACTAAGAGGTGGACCCGTTCATCCGTTTCAATTTGCATGTTTTCTAAACAAAAACAAGGCTTTGTTGGGCTGTTGTATAAAACCTAGAACTTGACACTATATCTGACATTTTGAATTGAAAAAGCTTCCTGGATGGAAGAGAAACGTCCTCAAACTTGGAAAAAAAGTCCAGTGGATTATTTTTAACTTTTTTGGAATGACAATGACCTAGATGACTGAGAAACTTCTCCAACATCTGTAGCTAAGATTCTGGTTTTAATGCAAAATTACATGGATGCATTTAAGCCATTTTCATTCACCTCACCAGCTCCTATATCCACCAGAATACACATAAAATGTTTCTTCTGACTTATTATTCATGAATCTAAATATCCTCCCTTATCTTTATTAACGACTCTCCTCACAAACCACAACATGCCCCCATGGTTCCATTCAGCCAAATCAGCCTCAGATTCCCAGAATCAGACTGAGCTCTCTGGGACAGACCAATCTGTGCCTCACTTCCTCTATTGAATGCCCTCATTTAAACTTTGGCACCATAGTCCACAGACAGCTTTAAAAAGATAGTTCCTATTTAAATAGTCTTATTTATAATTCTTGGTTGTGATTTTAAATTTTATTTCCACTTTAATCATTGTAAGTATGGTATGATTTGAATAAAAAGCAGCAAAACAAAATGCATTATTATTATTACCAAGCACTTTTTGCAGCTGTTTGTTTTTGTTGCATCTTTACCGGCTTTGCACGGGTTGGTTCTGAAGGTAGTGCTTTACCCTGGATTTTATTTGGAGGAATCAGATTCAATGGGGGCGAATCGATTTATTACACCTGTGCGATTATAATTATTAAGAAATATCTTAATTGATTAATTCATTTCCTTCCATTTCTGAATAATTATCTACTTCGTGTTAATTTGCGACTTAAAATCTTCGTAACATACTCTAAATTGTGCTTTGAAAGCTGACAAAGTGACAGCAGCTCTGCAGGGCACTGCAATGCGATCTTAAACCGGATCTTCATAGTGAACTACACACTAATATTCGTTGTGCTCTGGTGCTAAACAGAATGGATGTGATTGTAAACATGGAAAATCTGTCAGTCGGAAAGGACACGTTTAGCTTTTTGCATTTAATAAACAACCGCTGGTTCCGAGAGTCCAGTTTGTAACGTTTTCATTTCCGCGTCAAAGAAATACGGTTTTGATTTTTGTCGGCTTCTGATTGGCTGAAATGTCTCGATGTTTGTTCTCTGGCTTCTCATTGGTTAATCAGCGCTGAGTGACGCAGCGATCAGACCAATGGGTGGCTGCCACACTATGATTACCAGCCGGGGCCCTGCCGCCTGTGAGCATCTCCTCCTCCTCCGTCCCTCTTTCTCTTTCTCTATCAGTGCAGTCCGTCTCTGCCTCTTTCAGTATCTTTCTGAAGACGCGGCTCGCGCCTCCAACCTTAACGTCCTGCTGTCATTGAGGCGAACAGTGTTCTCGGGGTGCCATGTTGAGGCTGATCTTCTTGGCCGCCCTCGCCGGGTTCAGCCGGGCCAGCGATGTGCTGGAGTTCACGGATGACGATTTCGAAAGCAGGATTGGAGACCATGAGCTCATCCTGGTGGAGTTCTTTGCGCCCTGGTGAGTTTCTGCAGCTTTCATTCTGTAATGGTGCCGCTGGTTAGCAAGCGTAGGAGGGGGAAAAAAAGAAATATATATATATATAGAAGCATCTAAATTCCGGTGAACTGGGGGCTTTTAAAATATTTACACTGACGGAACTTCTTTATTAGTTTTTATTTGGGGAATAATGAACTTATTTGGTTTTATTCTAATCGGGTTTGTCAAATCCTGCTCTTTGGCTGCAGACCAAATATAGCATGCTAGCTAGCTAGTTAGCGGTGGAAGCGTGAAGCTTTCCTAACAGTGGGAAAATAAATCAAATTGGTTAATTTGCGTCTCTGCATGGTTTAATTGGACTTAAAGCTGTCTTAATGCAGTCTAGTTACTGATTTATTATCTATTCCAGCTGTTGTGTAGCTCTTTAATGATGCTATAAGGAAGTTAGGGGGCGTGGCACGTCATCGTTGTAACGATCCTATTGGTTGGGGAAGTTTTGGTGTCCAGCTCTGATTGGTCAACACTATATTTCACGTGTTTCTACGGTACCGCTTTAAAAAAAAAAGATTTTCTGCATTTACATTTTATTTGTATGTATATGCAAGGTTTAACCTCTGAAATCATCCCCGTCTAAATGTAGATTTTGAATTAATTGACTACTTTTAAAAACTTAACATTGGGTTCAAACGTACCTTTTTTTTTTAGCTTTATTTAACCCATAGTATTTCATTCCCATTAATTCTTCCAATGTTCTGTTATATTATTGTCTAAATTGTCCTTTATTTCATACATGTAGAATAACAAAGAAAACATATGTAACAGAAATAATCAAACTTATTTAATCTGGAAACAAGCTAGTGTTTCACTTCATACATGTTGATTAGATAAGTCAAATATCCAAACCATATTTTACATCAATATGTTCATTTTTACAGCTGCTTATCATGTCCTTGGTTTGATTAGTTTATACACTGAGAATATTATTAGATATTACCTATATCTACAGCACTGCAGAGAAAACTCTTGTGCGATTGCAGAAATAATACAACATGAATAGTGTGGAAATGTGATTTTATTTTTATTCTCTGAAGTGATATAAACCAAACCTTTAAAATAAAGGGAAAAAAAATATTTGCACTGCTACGTTTACTTAAGTTTAACTCTATTTAAACACCTCTCTGTGTAAGATGAGTAAACTGGCTTGAAATCTCCTGACTTATCATCTTTGTCCTTTAGGTGTGGTCATTGTAAACGGCTCGCACCCGAGTACGAAGCAGCAGCCACACGTCTAAAAGGCACCGTCGCGCTTGCCAAGGTATTGCATAATACAGTTTGACATCCTGTTTAAAATATCATTCCTAAGAGTTCCTAACTGTGGTGTTGATCCTGTGTAGGTTGACTGCACAGCTAACAGCAACACGTGTAGCAAATACGGCGTCAGCGGATACCCAACCCTGAAGATCTTCAGAGATGGAGAAGAATCTGGTCCCTATGATGGCCCCAGAACTGCAGGTATCCCTAACATTGATCTACTTTATTGGGTTACCATTAGTAAATCATTACTGTATACATGTAGCTGAAGGCCTCAGAGGTTTGTTAGAAGGACATAGATGGAACAATAGAATTAAAGGAACAGAGCAGAAAGTTGGAGACATTTAAAGCAGGGTCAGATTTTAAAACTTCCTCCCCTTTGAGCACTATGATTATTTACTTATCTGGACATTAAGTCTGATTGTAAATATGACACAAATACTAACCTATTAGGATGTTGTCTTAAACTCCTAAACTGACAGGCTGGGCAAGGAGAGTGTTTTCAAATTGGCTCACAAATCAGCTGGGAGGTTAGTGATAAGATCAAAGGTTGGCATGGTAGCAGAGCAAGTCCTCTTTCACTTCCTACTAGCTGTGTGGCAGACGCATAAATAATGATGGAGAATGGAAATAGCTGAGAGGGCCACATGTAGAGCTGTGTTTACATCACATGATATGAACTTCATTCAAATGGCGTTACCAAGAAGTTTAATATTGGTGTTGTAGAAACATGGTGGGGGTGGTGTCATTCTGTGGTCTTCCTGTTCAGATTTCTCACATCCAGTCTGCAGATGCTTTCTTGACCTCTGCTAAGAAAGCATCTAAATTAGCTGTATTGATTGAGGGCTGGTTATCCTCCCGCAGCAGTGGGTCGCAGTTAGCTTGTTGCAGGTATGATGCAGATATTTTTGATTTATGCCCAATATTAAAGCGTAGTCTGTGCGATGTTATTCCACGCCACAACGCAAGACAGACAATCAGGATCTAGCTAGGATAGTGAGTGTCCGTGTGTCGGACGCCGGACAACGCACAGTTCACCTGTGAGTGTTTCCCAAAGACTGGCCAACAGACCGTCGCACAGAGCTATAAACTAGCGTCCTGTAAGGTGTCTGGATAGTTTCCGAGGTGTGCCAGGCGCTGTGGACGGCACTACAGCCAGAGTTTCTGCCATTAGGTACCAAAGAGAAAATACACAAAGTGTAGAGTGGATGTAGAATTGACCAATCAAAGGCCTCCTGTCTGCGGCACTGTCTGCAGTCACCTATGCTTTGGGAGAGGTGCAGCAGAAGGGGGCATATTTGCGTTAACTGCAGACGACCTGGATTCTGAGCATAAACCAGGATTTAGTTTGTGTGCACAGACGAGGGGCAGGACTCTAGATTTAGGCAATTTCATCCCAGCGCTGCGTGTCCCGAGCCCTGACATCATCAATGACCCCTCACCCCCCCACCATGGACTGTTCTCCCTGCTGCCCTCTGGGAAGAGGCTTCACAGCATCTGATGCAGGTGCAACAGGTTCTGCAACTGCTTCTTCCCCACCGCCATCAGACTGATGAATGCTTTATAAAATGGGTTATTTTATTTTATTATATACGTTGGTGTTCGTCATGGAAACAGCCTGCGTCTGTTGTAACAATCAGTTTAGGATGGCGTCCGTTTTATTTTCATTTGTTTAAAACAAAATCGGTAAAAGAAAAGGAAATCAAATATCCCATATTAAAGGTCGAATGTTGCCCGATCGTGTATAAATGTAAAAAGGAATTTCATTTTTTTATGTGTGTGATCTGTTTTCTTCTGCCCTGTAAAGACGGGATCGTCAGTTTCCTGAAGAAGCAGGCAGGCCCAGCTTCAGTGGAGCTCAAAACTGAGGGAGACTTTGAGAAGTTTATCGCAGATCAGGATGCCAGCGTTATCGGTAAGTGAAGTCTCATTGGTTCCTGCTTTAGTAATGGATTATCTGATGTTTTCAGTTTAGTCTTGATCCACCAAGTTTTCAGAAACCTTTAAGACTTGTTTCCTACATGTGATTCCTCTCCTCAGGTTTCTTTGCTGATGATAAGAGCACAGAGCAGGCAGAGTTCCTGAAGGCTGCCAGCGCCCTGAGGGATGACTACCGCTTCGCTCACACCAACGCTGAGGCTCTCCTCAACAGCCACGGTGGAGAGTGAGTCCGTCCTTCTGCCTTTGAAAGGAAGCTTGGACAGAATGAAGAGCTGCTGAGACTTAAAATAAAAGCTCAAATTTATTTCTCTGAAAACTTAGAGTTTTCTCTCTGGATTGGAATAGTTCAGACCACATATCAGCACACAGCTGATGCAGAGAAACCTTTTCCCTTCTTGTCTGCAGGGGAGTCGTACTGTTCCGTCCGCCACGTCTCAACAACAAGTTTGAAGACAGTTCGGTGAAATTCAGCGAGGACAAGTTCACCAGCAACAAGGTCAAAAGATTCATCCAGGACAACATGTGAGTTTCCCCCAGACACCAGTCGACAAAACGGCTCCCTGCCGGAGGGCAGCATGGAGACGTTGGTCTGTGGCGTCCCCAGTAACTTGATGGTCCCATCAGAACCGACGTGTTCCAAGATGCAACTTTCTACTGCTGCAGTTTCCTTGACAGAAGTAGATTCATAGATCAACCATATATGCCCTGAAATCAGTGTTTGACGCTACTGAACTCAAAACAAGGACCATTTCTCAATTCACAAGAACGCAAATATAGACTCGTGTCCTCAGCAAGTCTGTTCTTGAGAAGAACGGATGAAAGTTTGAGCTCAGGGAGAACAGGAGCACACAGAATAAATCTGGGTCTATTGGAACAGAAGCTGGTCTGGAGATGCATTTCACCTCCTGTTATCAATAGACTCTAGATAGTAATTTTTTTAATTTATACGGGGAATTACATGGTCAGATGAACATAAATCAAATGAATGTTTTTCCCAAATAAAACAATCAAACCTCCATCAGAGCCAGCAGTACTTCACACACAGAGGGCCGTCTGCGGGGCGGCCCAGCAGCCGGCCCTGGTCAGACTGGGAGGTCTACTGGTTGCCGTTGCCCAGAACTTTTTTAAATTGCACACTAAATCAGTAAATGGGCCATAAAGTGAAGCTTAAAGTATGTTTTTTTTTTTCTCCTCAAATGATCTTAAAACGGAGGGGAAGAACAACATCCAGGGATTTTGTCCGTTCTTGCTCTTGTATTCTTGTAAACTGGGAAAAGGTTGAGCCTGACGTTTCACGAGAACGTACAAGTACACAGATATGGAAGTGGAAGTCCGTTTGTGATGCTGACTTTCTGTGTTTCCTCTGCAAACAGTGGTTTGGCTTTTTATTGTTTTACTGCCAATAATAACACAAATGTTTTAATATTTAGTTTCTGCATTTACCAGCATTTCTCTGCTGGTTTCCTCGAACCTGTGCAGCTTTAGTGTTGATGATCCTACCCACCCCCACCCCCCCAGCAGTGGGCCTACCCCCAAACTGACTCCGTTACTTTTCTCTTTCTCAGCTTTGGGATCTGCCCCCACCTGACAGAGGACAACAAAGACCAGCTGAAAGGAAAAGACCTGCTGGTGGCTTATTATGACGTCGACTACGACAAAAACCCCAAAGGTTCCAACTACTGGAGAAACAGGTGAGCGTTTCTAACGTCTGCCGACGCCGCATAGCAACGGCTTTGATCTGTCACTGCTGGTCTGTATGAGCTACATGGTCAAGAACTGATGAGTCATGAATCTCGTTCAGGGTGATGAAGGTGGCTAAAGGCTTCCTGGATCAGGGGAAGAAGATGACCTTTGCTGTAGCCAACAAGAACCAGTTCAGCCACGACCTGTCTGACTTTGGTCTGGACGGCGGCTCAGGAGAGCTTCCTGTTGTGGCGATCCGCACCGCCAAGGGAGACAAATACGTGATGACGGAGGAGTTCTCGTAAGTCCAGATCTGATCTTCAGACTCCATCTTTAATAAATGTCCCCTATGATCAGCTGCTGCTCTCTTTGGTCTGCTGTGGTCGCTGACTGTTCTGATGGTTCTCAGCCAATCAGAGCAGCTGGAAACATGTTGTTTTCATCACAATAAGCTGCAGCTCTTCCCCCGTTGATGGTATTTTTTGTTTTCCTGTTTGCAGCCGAGATGGAAAAGCTCTGGAGCGTTTCCTGCAGGACTACTTTGATGGCAAGTTGAAGCGCTACCTTAAATCAGAAGCAGTCCCAGAAGACAATGATGGACCCGTTAAGGTGGGATGATTCTCTATTGATTAATGCAGACTTAACCACCCACCACCCCCCCCTGGCCGTACTCATTCGTCCTTTAATGGAGTTCTGTTTGTTTACTGAAAATAATTGAATAGTAATACATTTTATTTCAAAGGCGGGTTAATGGACACTATAGGTAATCGTACAAAAGATTAAAACACAAGTGGAGAAATAAAGTCAAAACACAGAATAATTAATGATGGCTGCCGGCTCAGAAACCTTTCTGCTCAGGGTCCTAATGCATGACCACATTTGGAGGGAAGGTAAACAGGTGGTTGGAAGATTGGTTTTACAAACTTTAAAGTGCTATATCACAGGATCAAACCCGAGGAAGGACCCAATAGTTAAAATGACTGTAGGTTAAAAAAAATAAAAAATTTTCTTGAAATTAAGATTACTTTTTTTTTTTTTCCTTGTCTAAGTATATTTATGCAGATTTTTCATTAAAGATTTTTAGCCAAGTTTGCTTTTTGCCAAAGTAACTGGAAGTTATATTGACATAAAAATTAAAATACCTTAAGAGATAAATAGTTAATTTGCATTTTCACCAACGGCTGAAAACTGCTCTGTCTTCCTTCCACTCTGAGCGTTGTTTCTGTGAGCTTGTTGGATATGATGCATCCAGCGATCATTTTCACGGCCTCCAAAGACCGATTACAGGATGACGTCCACATCATTTCAGATCTGAACATCTCCAGACTGAGCAGAACCTCTGGCTGTTTAAATCACACCTTTGTCTGTTTTTTCCTCAGGTTGTGGTCGCTGAGAACTTTGACGCCATCGTCAACGATGACAGCAAAGATGTGCTCATTGAGTTTTATGCGCCGTGGTGCGGACACTGCAAGAACCTGGAGCCCAAATACAAGGAGCTGGGAGAGAAGGTGGGAGCAGCTTTTTATTTATGTATTGCTGCACTGTTACACTTTTAGCCTCTGGCTTTGATTTATTTAATGTTTAACGCACAAGAGAGTCAAACTTTTTTATTTCTTCACATTCGACTAATTTCTCAATTTTTCTGTCCTAATAACCAAATGTGACATTGATTCTTCGCCTGCAGTGGTGTTGCATCATGGGAGTTTGATGTCAGTTGTTCCATCTTTTTATATTATTTACGAAAACCACTTTTAAAATGACCCTGCAATCAAAAAGGGCTGTTTTATTTTTATTTTAGCTTGTTTTTGTATTAAAAAAGATGAACACACATTTGAACAAACCTGAACATTAGAAACTAGCTAATTAGAAACGAAGCATCATCTATTGTTTTATTTTGTCTTAAACTAGATGGTAAATTTACTGATGAGGATCTAATTGACCACATGATTATAATGAGTTTATGTTAAGATAAATATGCTATGGATGTTATTAATTAACAGACTGAAAACTGTCCTTTAGTGCAGGCTGGACCCCCAGAACCTCAGTCCTGATGTCATGGAGATCCTTAGCTAGTTTTAGTAGCATATTTTGTTTTTGAGCCAAGGATGCAGATCATTTATGTTTAAAAGTTTTGCAGGAAGTTCAGTTACTTTGCTGCACTGATGTGTTTATTTTTTATTTTTTAAGGAACTAGACACATTTGGCTGGTATTTATCAGAACCAGAGTTTAACACCCAAATCACATCATGTTGCCTTATTTGAATAAAGGTAGCTAATGGTGGAAAAAAACTAAACATTTTTTATTTTTAATGACTATCCCAATTCTAAACTTACATTTTCTTTTTGCCTGACCTACTTTCAGCCAAATGATCTCAAACACGTTCTCCTATTTCTATATTATCTTATCTTTGCTTCATAATAACTTATGGAGCTGTGAGTTCTTTGGAAATACAGAAATGATAAGATAAAACCGATGTAAGAATGTCACAGATCAGACACTAAAGATTGAAATAAGGTCTGTTTTTCCCTCTGAATACCTCATTTTATTTTCCTCTTTTTGAAGAAGAACCTTGTTTTTAATAATGAAGTAAAAACAAAATCCTAAATGGCCACATTTGCTTACCTCTCGTTGTGCAGCTGGCCGAGGATCCAAACATTGTTATTGCCAAAATGGACGCCACAGCGAATGACGTTCCATCGCCATATGAAGTCAGCGGGTAAGTCTAACTTTTTTTTTTTTTTTTTCTCCTGCTTCCTTAACATTTAAGAGTTTTAAATTTAATCCTGAATGTTTTCCTCAGATTCCCGACAATCTACTTCTCCCCTGCTGGACGTAAAATGAACCCAAAGAGATACGAGGTGAGCTGCTGCCTTTTGTAATCAGATTACCTTGGTTGATGTCTGCGCTCTGCCGGCCGTAACATCGGGCTGCTTTCTCTGCAGGGAGGTCGTGAGGTGAGCGACTTTATTTCCTACCTGAAGAAGGAGGCCACCAACCCTCTAGTTGTCCCAGAGGATGCCAAGAAGAAGAAGAAGAAGAAGGATGACAAAGCAGAGCTATAAAGGCTCCAACCAGAAACTTAACACCCCCCACATCACAACAGGAGGAGGAGAATCGGGGGACAGAAAGAACTCAATTATATTCCACTCGTAGTGAACTACCAAAAGCTCTGAAGCCGAAGTCCCAAAGACTCGGCGACTCCTTAGGTCCTCTGCTGCTCTGGAATCCTGTGGAGAGGTGGTGGCCAGGGTCTGCCCGCCGTTTAATGACAATAAGAAATTTTTAGGGAAGAGGGACAGCTTTTTGAAATGAGACTTCTATTTCCTCTGGTCTGTCTATTACACCTCAGGCTGATGCACTTTGGTTTGATACCAGTTTCCAGTCATCTTTCGCCCATTTGTGTCCTCATCATGCGGGATAACTTTTTTTTTGTTTTTTTTCTTTTTTTTTTTCTTGTTTGTAACTGGTCTTTGTTTTTGTACATTTGGAAGGATTGTGAAATAAAAGGCCCACAAAAGTTAAATGCCTATCTTGTTTCTGAAGTTTTATTCTGACAATTTGAGGCCTTTTTATTTTTAGAAATCTGATATTTAGTTTCAGGAGCAAGGGATTTATTTATAGTTTGTCCTGTTTTTAACATTTTATCTGAATCTCTTTTACTTGAACCATGATTTGAAGATCATCTTCATCAGAAACCTTTAATTCATTATGGAGAAACTTTCTGGCACAATACCAAAACACGTCACTAGGTGGTGCTGTCTTTTCCTCAAAGCACAATAATGAAAATGATTACCTAACTTTCTATGAATTAATTTTTTTTGATAAATGGAATCCGCTTAAGAGCAGAGTTGGGATTAAATGTTTAAAAGGTTTAAAGTATATATTAGAAACGGAAATTTTCTTCGTACCTTGCCATTTCTACACCTCTTCTGGTGAAGATTCTCGGTCATCATTCCAATAAAGTTAAAAACAATCCACTGGACTTTGTTTCCAAGTTTGAAGACGTTTCTCTTCCATCCAGGAAGCGTTTTCAATTCAAAATATCAGAAATGGGGTTGAGCTCAAAGCTTTATAGGCCTTTTCCCCCTCTGGATATTTCCATTTTTTTTTCTACTTCAAGTTTCTTGCCTGAACATACACCGGTAATGTGGATAAAATATGAATCTAACTCAACTTTTTTACTGCGGTTTCATTTATGCCATTGAGCTATTCAGTACAGTAAATAAAGCAGAACCTGGGATTTATGAATTTACAAGTGTAAAATGTTAAGCACACATCAAACTTAAGCTACAACAGTAATTTCCCAATGTTTAATACATAGAATATTGTCACCATACATTGCTATATATATTGTATATACAGTGTATAGGCCTATTAGAAAGATTTGCGATAAATTTAGTCGATATAAAGAGCCTTTTGATGTATACTTTGAGTATTAACTTTACGCCGCAATACCGCATCCCATCGCTGGGTGACGCTGAAGTCTAGCGCGCCTTCTGATGAACAGTAAGCGAAGAAGAGAAGAAACCAATCAGCTGGATGTAGCTGAGATCCTGTCCGGGCATGTCCTGCGCTCTGCCTGTCCACGTGCTGCTACAGACGGTACGGCCTAATAAGTGTCTTTTTTTTATTTTTATTTAATCATTTTAATCGTTACTGTAACAGAAATATTGGAAAGATGAAGAGTTGACTTTTTCTTCTAATCTAGTTTCTTGTTAGCCGGCTGTTTTGCTTTGTAGCTTAGTTTTTCATGTCACTGAACCAATTTCCATTCATATATATGTTTTTTTAAGTTAATTGAAGCTAAACACACATTTTTAAAATAAAATTGCTCTTAAAGTTGTGTTTATATAAAGTGCTCGGCTTAGTGTTCACTTCGGCATATGTTCTGCTTGCTATTATTATTGTTATGGAAGCTAAAACCTGTTATGTGACTGTTGCCTTTATGCGGTTTATATCAATAAATCTCTTTATTTATACACAATCATGGTCCATAAACGGAAGAAACCAAGAACAATAATAAAAAAAGAGAAAAATATAAAAATTATATTTATAATAAACAATAATTTGATTATAGATCACATCTAAACTCATAAACTCCATAAAGACTTATACTTCTAAATGAGCCTTGGTTTATAGGCGCTGGTATAAAGGTGTTTATTTTAACTCTTTGTTGCTGTCCTCACATTGCTGTCTCTGTAACAACCAGTGACTGAAATGTCTATAATTCCTGCTTTCTGAATCTAACCTTTCCTCTCAGATATGATCATGAGACACTTGTTACATGATGTCCCATCCATCGAAAAGAAATCCAGCTTCTTCCTCACGGGGCCTTCTAGGTAACTACAGGTATCTGTGCAAGAAAACCAAACTGATACGTTCAATGGAGCATTCGAGAGCCAGGAAAAAACCCCAGGATATGAGGATGGTCTCCAACAGGAAGACGAAACTAAGCAGCTTTCCTAGTGAAGCCCTGGATGCAAACCCGCCGATGAAGAAGGCTAAACTAGCAGATCCAGGCCTGCAGTGCCAAAGCACTATCAGCTCTGCCTCAGAGCCTGATCACCACAGCGTGGTTACTGCCCTCAGAGACAGCTGGGAGGTGGACAGTGGCTTCTCTGAGAGCAGCCCCCCAGCCAGCGGCCGGAGTTCTCCCTGCCTCGCATCAGGCTCCGCCTCGGTGGTGGCGTTGGACTGTGAGATGGTGGGTACGGGGCCAGGGGGCCGCTGCAACGAGCTGGCCCGCTGCAGCATCATTGACTATCAGGGCAACATCTTGTATGATAAATACGTCCGACCGTGTCAGCCTGTCACTAACTTCCGGACGCCCTGGAGTGGCATCCGCAGGCATCATCTCCACAACGCCACGCCCTTTGCTCAGGCAAGGGAGGAGGTAAGACCTGCTTGGATTGACATCAAGATCCAGTGTTTGATTTTTATGCTTTAGAATATTTTTCTGTCTGGTTTA